GAAATTAGCTAACAACTACAATAAATATATATTATGACAAAACTTACGCCGAGCGCATGGCGGCGAATGCCTGTGGTCCCAGCTACTTGGGAGGCTGAGGCAGAGGACTCGCTTGAAGCCCAGGAGTTTGAGGTTGCTGTGAGCTAGCTGACACCCATGGCACTCTACGCTGGGCAACATGGAGCAGCCCCTCAGCCTCACCATCCTCGGTTTCCACATAGAGGCGGAGTCCCAGATCCTGGTTACGGTGCAGCAGCCAGCGGTCACTGGCTGCTGTGACATCCAGCACCAGCCAGCCCTCGTCCCCAGCTCGGAGCGTCTGAAGATCCAAAAAGAACAAGTCAGACTCCCTGTGGACATGAAAGAACAATTAACCGGTGGCCGGCACAGCTGCCTGTGAGTTTCTAGTGCCCGCTTGGGGACCGTCACTGGAGCATCCCACTCTGGGCTGGCTCCTCCCACGACTCCTCTCACTGAGTGGGCCCACAAAGGTGTTACTGCGCCTGAGTACAGATGGAGAAACTGAGGCTCAGTGACCTGACCAAGGTCTCACAGCCAGGATGGCAGGATGGGACCTGAAGCCAGGACTGTCTCTGGGCTCTTTGCTCAGTGCCCAGAGGCCTCGGGACAAACATCTTTCCCGTCTCCCAGGCTCCCTTTTCCATCCTCTGGGAACAGATCCTCCCCCTCCCCCACTGCAGCCCCCAGTGGGGGAGACACACGGGGCCTTGCCCAGGAGAGGTGAGGCGGGGCGGGCGCCTGGGCCCAGGGGAAGGCACCTGTTGGATTGCTCCTGGACCACCTGGAACATGCTGACGTGGAGGGTCCTGTTGAGTGGGCGGGTGCTGGGCACCTTGTAAATCCGGAACTCCGCGGCTGTGACCGCCTCCCCCGCCGGGATCTGGGTCAGGTCAAAGCGGAACTCCTTCCAGTGGGGCTCCTGGTGGCCCAGGGCTCGGTCTCGCTCCACTGGAAGACAAAGCGGAGCCAGTCACTCGGGGTGACTCAGGCTCCTGAGTGGGCAGAGCCGGGTGATCTGGTGTCATCCACTGCCTTGGGGGGCTCTCGGAGGCCTGGGCAGGGCCAGCTTCCTCCACCGCAAATGGTCTTGTTCTAGGTCTGCCCCAGGGTGTAGACAGGATTCCACAATGTAGACAAGGCTGTGAGAGGTTGTGGAGTCAGGCGCACCCTGAGCCCCAAACCCTGCTCGCACCACCCCGGGGGCCCCCAGCTGGCCCTGGGACCTGCAAGTGAGACAGAGGCTGGGCCTCCCCTGGGAGCTCCGAGGCCAAAGGGGAGACAGACATCAGACCCAAGGCAGGAAAGGGCCAGGCCCTCCCGGAGAAACTTGGTGGGCAGGGACATAACCGAGGGCATCTCAGCAGGACACGGGCCATCCAGAGTGTGCCTGGGCCTGGATGGGGGCGCTGGGTGAGGTCGGGGGCTCGGAGCCGACAGCTGAGCTGGGCTGAGGCAGGAGAGTGAAACTGCCACAGTGTCAGGGCACTGCCGGGCACAGGCCTAAAGCGGAGGGACCCAAGGGCAGGGCAGGACAAGTGACCACCCAGAAACAGCAGAGGGCAAAGGACCCAGCTTCCCGCTTTGGAACAAGGAGAAGGAGGAAGGAAGGAGGGAAACGTGGAAAGGAGCAAGAAAAGCCAGGGTGGGAGTGACAAGCTGCTGGAGAGGCCCAGTCAGGTGCTGGGAAGTCCGAGGGTCCCACTGGGTGGTGGGAGCTGAGCAGGCTCCACAGAGGAGGTGACACCTGAACTGGCCTGGAAGGATGGGACGGAGTTTCAGCGGTTGGAGAAGGTGGCAGGGAGGGAGGGCAGTGTAGGCAGAGGGGACCCCACCTGCACAGGTGTGGAGGTGCCCTTAGGCCAGCAGGTGTGGGGCACAGCAGGGGAGCCGGGCCAGGACATGGGCTGTGCCTGTGGCCAGCGGGGAGCACCGGGGGCGGGGCAGCAGGGACTGGTGGGGCAAGTGGGGGTTGAAGACTCCGTGGAGGCTGAGCTGGCGCACAGGCTGGAGCTGGGACCCGAGACGGCCCTGGTCCGTCTGTCTGGGGGCTGGTCCAGCAGTCTGGCAGGGTCCGAGGTTGCGGAATAAATCCCACAGTTCCCTGCACGGAAATGCCCGGGATGGTATATTTAGGGCGGTCTCACTTTAGCCTCCTGTCACTTTCACACAGTAAAAATCTGTGTTTCTGGAAAGCAGGGGCGGGAGCCGCCCAGCGCCCTCCTCAAAACCCAACACTGAGATTTTAATTACATGTTTGTGAGTCTTTTTAAAAATTCTCTCTCTGGCTACTGGGCTCCGTGACCGCAAGCCAGGTTTTTAAAAAGCACCGGGCTGTGCGGCCCAGGGCGGATGTGGGGAGCACTTCCTGTCCTCGCGGTGGGGACCTGGCCCAGTGGCGGAGGGGCAAACAGCTGTGCTGGGCAGGGGCCGGGGCCAGACGTGCTTGGGCAGGAGGAGGCCACGGCGGAGAAGGACTGGGTCGTGCATTGTCCAACAGCACCCGTGGGTGCCTAGCACGCAGCCAGTGCCCGCCCGAGAGCCAGGATGCTCAGGCGCAGTGAGCTGCACCGTGTGGTCCAGGTGCCGCGGCCACCGGCAGGGACTGCCCAGGACGTTTGCTGAGTGCTGGTCATGCCCCGAACATCTTCTCATGTGTGCCCCCCTCCCTAGATACACTTTCTCTCTGTTTGTTCACTCAACTACAAAGAGATGAAAACAGATACACTCTCACACACAACTTTGGTGACAATCACAGTGGATTCAGGAACTACGGAGACAACCTCTGTTACGTGGCTTCGTGAGAATCCCCAGTTTGCAGGATGAACTAAGTCCTTGTTGTTGGTTGTGTCACAGGGTGTGACAGTGAAGGAGCCACTCAGTTTTGCCCTTGGCCGACCTCTGTCACAGCATCATGATACGCACTTGTCCCCAGGGCACAGCCGAGGCTGACAGGTGGGTGGGGGGGTTCACAGGGAATGACCAGACGCTGATCTCATGTTGCATATGAAGGAACAGCCACCAAGCCACCAGCTCTGCATGGACACCGAGCTTTGTGGCCGTCCTCCCTCGCTGACGGGTGGGGCCCGCACTGGCTGGCTCAAGAGCGTCTTGCTCAACTGAACTGACCCCACTCCCAAACTTCCCTCCTGAGGGTTTGTGAAATCAATAAACCACCCAGGAGTTCCAGCACAGGAAACAGCCTACACTGGCTGTTCCGGGCAAGCCTAGAGTTGGGAAATTTTTAGAACAATGATGATTTCCATCAGAAATTGATAAAACTTCCTGGGGTGCAACATTAACATGGACATTCCTGTTACCGCCTGCAAGGAGTGCCCCTTTCTCTGCTGTATTTATGGCTGTGCAGTGACTGCTCCTTTGGATTAGGAAAGATATTTCTCAAAAGTTGATGTTGGGGAAAAAGCATTTGTTGGGACCTGGGTTTTCCCCTGTGGTGGCTCTGGGCAAGCTGCCCTGCATCAGCCACCAAGACCGCACTGAGAAGTGCAGATTCTCTGGCCTGTAGCTGGGGCTCCTGGTCCCAGCCCTGAACCTGCCAGCGGCCAGGTACTTCCTTGGTGTGGCCTCAGTCTCCTCGTCTGTGAAAGGGAAGGGACTATGGGATACGAGTGGTGCATTCCTTAGGAGGTGGGAGGGCACTAACCTCTAATTTCCTAGCTTAATCAAAGTGCCAAAGTAATGCCATGCGGCCAGCACCATCTGAAACTCAACAGGCATTGGGTGGCGGTGGGGTGGGTAAGAAGATGTTCAGTTTTCTTTTTTGTTTCAAATAAAAATGTGGCATGAGAGAAAATATAACACGAAAATACATCAGTTCAACTGGCAGGCATTTGAATGGCTTCTAGACGCCAGCTTTCACCTGCCCAACTTAAGTCAAGGCATTTAACCTTCGGGGCTCAGTGTCCACATCTGCAAAAAGACACTTTGATATAGGGTCAGGTTTGTTCACTGTAGTCGGTACTTGGTTATGGTCCAACAAGTGCTGGACTGTTCAGGAGCATTTCCTTGTTGGTGCATGCCCAGCCCCCACCTTCCCACGTAAGCAAGGTCTGGAATTTCCCAAAGATGCCTGGGCTCAGAGAGGCAGCACCTCTGCAGTGCCGCTGAGACCAGTGCTGGCCCAGACAGAAGGCACCACACACACTCTGCACCCACTTCATACACATGTGGAAACGGAACCCAGGAGTCCTGACCCCGGCTGGACTCCGTCCACTACAGTGGACCACCACTGTCGGATGCTGAAAAGATGGCATAAGAGCCAAGTTGGTATTGGCCCCGAACGCTCCAGTGCTAAAGACAGACACCTGAACGCACAGCTCAGACTGGCTGCTGCCACTTCCCAAAGCCCTGCTATTATTTGGGGGTTCACGGAGGGAATTTATGGAAGGGCCAAGGTCTGTACAATGTGATTTCTCAGGTTTTCCCAGTAAAAGTCCACGGCCGGTGTGGGGTTGGGAAGTTTATCCCAGACAGGCTGGGGGAAGGGTGCAGGGGGTGCTCCCCACCTGGCCAGTGTCCTGGACCCCGACCATCTGAGATATGTCCTGCCAGGAATCCTCTGTTTGTGGTGGTCCTGGAAGGGACCACTGATGTTTAGAGCAAGGTTTCTGGGGAGTAAATTATTTCCCCCATCTGCAAAATCTGGGGTGGAGATTCCTAATTTTGGGGGTCTCTTAATTTGATTTTTGGGCTTGTGGGAGGATTCCTGACTCTGTTGCCATCTCATGGTCTGAAGACTTTAGAAGAATGTTCACTTTTCCCATTCATTTTTCCCAGTCACATCCAGGAATATTAATTAATTCACTTATTCAACACATTTGAAAGCAGTGCTTGTCGTGTGTAAGTCACTATTTAGGCACAGGAGACCCTGAAGCCAACAAGACACACCAGCCCCTGCCTAGTGAGAAACGAACAAGATCAGCATATAGGGTTAGAGCTGTGAGGGACAGAGAGAGGGGATGGGACTGGGAACAACGCTGGGGGGAGGGGCTGCTTTATGCTTTTAACTTTTTTTTTTTTTGAGATAGAGTCTCGTTTTGTTGCCCAGGCTAGAGTGTGTGGCGTCAGCCTAGCTCACAGCAACCTCAAACTCCTGGGCTCAAGCAATCCTCCTGCCTCAGCCTCCCGAGTGGCTGGGACTACAGGCATGCGCCACCATGCCCGGCTAATTTTTTCTATATATATTAGTTGGCCAATTAATTTGTTTCTATTTATTGTAGAGACGGGGTCTCGCCCTTGCTCAGGCTGGTTTCAAACTCCTGACCTCAAGCAATCCGCCCACCTCAACCTCCCAGAGTGCTAGGATTACAGGCATGAGCCACCGCGTCCAGCCTATTAAGTGAAATTCTTTTGAAAAAAAGACTTACCAGGCACAGTGGCTCATGCCTATAATCCTAGCACTTCAAGAGGCCAAGGCAGGAGGATCCCTTGAGCCCAGGAGTTTGAGGTTGCAGTGAACTATTATGATGCTACTGCACTGCCATAATTATTTATTTATATCATTAAGGATTTGTGGATGTTTATTTTATTCTATGGGTTATAATCCAATACTATTGTTGTTTATTTCAGTGCTCAAATTATTCCAGTTTTGGCCATTGGAAGCTTCTTCAGGTTGGCTCCCGTGTCCTTTTGACACTCACCTCCCCCCACCCTTTTCTGAGTACTTCCTAACTGGCCCTCAAGATGCTCTAGGCTCATCTTGTGATCTCCGGTTCCCCATCTCTGGAATCAGCTATTTTGCCCAAGGATCTCTGGTTCCTCTTATTGGAGAGATATTTAGAAACTAAGATCTGGGCACTGGGTGTACTCATGGTACTGGGGTGTCACTGCTTTTAGGCCTTCTTTGTGGACGGAGCTAGGAAATACATGTGCATACTAACTCATGCATAAACACACGTCTGTATTTATGCATCTGTCTGTCTAGATATATC